CAATGCCACAAACCTTTTTTAGAAGGACAGCAGTGACTGCTCAATGTGCTTCTTTGCCCAAATTCTAGCACTGTAGCTACATTACATTCAGATGTTGAATCACCATCCCTCACCTACCGGCCAGCTCACCTGAAAAACTAATAATATTCTTTGCTTCCTTTTCCTGAACTGCTGCACCAGACGATGCCCACTCCTGAGTCCTCTCCACAGCCCGGGCCAGCAGCAGCTGCAGCTCTGTGGTGAATGGAACAGGCAGCCCAGGCTGTGCACCCAGCAGTCTCTGAGGAGGCACTCCGGGATCCATCTCAAACACACCGGCAATCCGCGGGCATCACAAGCCCCTTCTGAATCTACAATCCCCACTATTCAGTCAGAGCATCAGATATTGGCAAAGCATGTTGAACTTTAAAATAACATTTGTTTAACAATGATAGAATAAGGGTCCATCTAAATTACAGAACTGTATTCCATAATCCGTAACAAATCTTTCATTTCTCAGAACCAATGTGAAACCTTGTAAATCTCAGAAGTATTTTTCATCTGCAAGTGTCTTCAGTTCTTCTCTCAGGCACTCTGTATGTCTATGATCTGTATCTCTGTGATGAATTGATAACCCCTCCGAGAATAAATGAGAGCCATCGTCATGGGAGCAAGTAAAGTGTGAAGAAGCTCATGCTCTGAATTCCTTGCTCATGGAAAACGGAGCAAATGGCATCAAGGAGGGCCTGGATTTCACCCAAGTTCCCTATAACATAACTGTTTCAGCTACAGATCTTGTCTCAGACACCATCAGTCCACATGTCCAAGTAATTTGTCCAAAAGGAATGCCCTGAAGCTATAAATGGGAACTACTACACTGCACAGCTTTATCACACCAGGAAACTAAGAACAAGGAGTACTCAGCACAAAACACCCTTCCAGATTTACAGACCAATGAGGCTAAAAAGCCAAGTGAGACACTGAGCAGGAAAGGTAAAACAGCTTCAGCATCTAACATTTAGTAAGAGTAGGACCTGGAATCATAAAGAGGAGTTTTTGCAGCGAAGGAGCAAGCTGAAATACAATGTAAGAAACATTATCAAAAAACTAGCAAATCCTGGCCAGCCACACAGATAACAAACGTGACTGAGTTTGAGGTAAAACTTACTAATTTCCTTAATACCCGTTTTGGAAAAGACGGCATGTGCATCATCAAATATAATGGGCCTGGCTGATACCAACATCTCTTACAGCTGCTGTAACACATTATCTGGAAAGAGACAGAAACTAACAAGCTGTCAGACGACAAAAAAACCCACACCATTACTTTGATGGTGCAAATGATCTTAAACCCTTCCCTAAGCCTCTCCCAATACCATCCCTCTGCATTTAGACAGAAGTATAAAATCCAGAACTATGCCTGCAGCTGTTTTTCATTCAATCATATTTCATGGATAAAATGTTCAAAAGTGACCTATAATTTCAGAAAATGAAAACCCTGAGAACACACTCGGATATCCATGGACTGGCTGCAGAACTGCTCTGCACAACTTTCACTGGCACCTCCTGCTCAGTGCCTCAAATAAGCCAGTTTGGCCTCACATCTAAATGAGGATTTAGACCTCTGATTTTAAGGGGGCACAGCTCAATGACTTTCAGTAGTTAGGCTGAAGGACGTAAACACTTTTTGAGGCGTGAAGTATGCACCTAGCTTTTGGGGAAAGAATCAAGTCAGAGGGCAAAGAAAAAGTGATGAGAAAAGCAAAGGATCCATCTTTAAGCTGCAAAGCTTTAAAATGCTACAAATAATACATAACTACTCACACTAAAATATCTTACATAAGTCAGTAAATACATGTATGTACTCTGGGACTGCAGCCATGTTGTTAAACGCTCTTCTTTTCTCTGTTTCATTCCTAAACGAAAACAATTCTCCCTTCTTTCATCTCACAAAAGGACAGCACCTTTATCTTCCTCTGAAGAGCTACAGGTATGCTTTTATCTTCAGTATGATACATTTTTAGTGCTTGGGGTATGAGGTTTGGTTTTCTATTACCTTGTGAATACCAGGGAAACTGATTCATTTCAACGACTTAATGGAAAACAATCTTTGTATGTCCATTCATTTTTAAAAATGGATTTCATCATTATTAGTGTTATTACTATACTTTATAAGTATTCAGATTCCCGAGTTCAATAAAATGTGTATTTCTTCATGTCAAAATATTTTCCAGGTGGCACTAGTCTACACACCAGAGGCTACCACAGACAAGCATCACCATTCAGGTGACTCCAGCAACTTCTCTCCCATGGCTCTCATGACGAGGCACCCACCACGCAGTCTACCAAGGCACAGTATCAGAACCCAGCTTAGGAACTGGAGAGAGCCAGCAGCTGGAGGCCCTCTCCCTGCCCAGCGAGGTGGGGCAGAGCCCTGCTGAGCTCTAAGCTCAAGGACTATCAAGGTCAGTACGATGGGAACGCAAGAAGCACGCTGGAGGGTCAAGAAGTGCCACTAACTGAAAGGAAGCAGATGTTTGGCAACAGGATTCCAACTAAGTGTTGATTAAAATTTCAACTTTTCAATTAGAAGATGGCTGTTTGAAGTGCTCAGAATAGTCTATTTAATCATTTTCTGCCCGTGGAAACACATGGAAGGAAAAACAGCTAGTGAAAAACTTAAAACCTTCAACACGGGGCCCAGAACCTCATAGAAATTTTTACTTTTTTTTTTTTTAGGCATAAAATTTTATTCCCCTTCTAAAATTAGTATCAGTACATTGAATCAGAGACACTAGTGACAAATTAATAATACCAAAATTAACACAGTGAGAGTAATGTTACTAAAGATAAGAAAAGATAAACAAAGGTGAAATCTGTAAGGGGAGACCAGTGTCATTCAAGTGCAGCTGCAATGCACCACTGGTACCTCCTGTGACAGGGGAAGTGGAGAGAAAGGGCCAGAGCACCAGACAGTGTTCTCAGGAAAGTGTGATTGACAAAAACCCTTGGAGGTGCTGACCCCACATTCAATGTTATCTCAGCTCCAGATTATTAACCCTTGGTCTTTTTGAACGTGTGTATATTAATAGACTGAATATGCAGGAACCAGTATCTGAATTTGTCCAGTAATTTCACAAAGGGGGGGAAAAAAAAAAAAAAAAAGAATATAAAAAGGTCAAGAAAAAGTGTCCTGAAAGGGAAGGGGTACTACATTCCAAACACTGCCTGAAAATACCTTTACAATTTCATTGCCTTCTGCCATGTAATTCACTCAACAAATTCATATTAATTAGGCTTTAAAATAGATCATAAAAGGGGAAGGGTTTGTTTTTCTTTTCCTAACTCATTTTCTTAGATCTTTTGGAAAACATAATTCAGTAAGTCAACAGCTCTATTCCAGATAGTTACATATCAAATGACATTACAAACAAGCACTATAATCAGCAACAGATCAGTCAGTTGTATCTACTTCAGAACTTCAATTCCTAGAGTATCTGCTTCTTATTTTATTTGGTAAAGCCAATAACATAAGGCACATGAAGGGATCAAAGAGTAAAAAAAAAAAAAAAAAACAGGTATGATACTGAAAATAAAGTGTTATCAAAATGAAACACTATTTTATGAATCTGCTAGCTAATGAAAAAAAGGCAAGGCAAAATTCTAATGAAAGACATCACATTTGTGGCTACCTGTCTACTTCACAAGTGAAAACCTACCTTTTTTTGGGGGAAGCAGATGTCACCTGAGGAAATAAGCTAATTTCAATTTTGATAACCCCAAGTAAACTTCTAACCAATAAAAACAGATCTGATGTGGGATTTTTTCCTTCCAAAATACCCCAGCTTTGGGTAGTTCTCCAAAACCAAGCCAAATCTCACACTTCTTTTTAACAGATTTTACTCAATCCTTATTTGCACTAACTCCTCATCAGCTTGCTAGTTCTCACCTTCTCCAGGCCTTCTACCACTCCTCATTGCACCAACAGTCTGCCTAAGGCTGTCTGAAGGCACAGACTTGGCCCCACCTGACCAGACTCCTTGCAGCACAGAGCCACCTCAGAAAGGCTCCCAGGTGAAGCAGTCACCCACGCAGGGCCACAGTGCAGCACAGGGTCACCTTCTCAGAACAATGCCTCCAAGAACATCTGGAAAACGTCCCCCATCATTTTAGACTGAAGTCTCACAGAAGACTTCAGATTTGAGGATGTGCACCCAGACATACCAAATCAAGACCAGGAAAGCCTCTGGCTAAGCCACACTATTGCCAAGTACCATCAGACTTGTTTGTTTGGGCAAGTAAAACACCTTGGCACATTTCCTAAACTGCCATTTTATCTGCTCCCCCCTTCTTATTTTTTTTTCTGCTTAAATGAAAGATTATCAATCCCTAGAATCGAAACACAAGAGAGACAGGTATCACACAGACCTTAGTGTTAGTTATGTCAGTACAGAAACAAGTTAAAAAAGGAAAAACAAAGCAACACATTCTCTGTACAAATTACTGATGTAATGAATTCAAACTCCTGAAAGTTACTCCTCATGATAACCTTCAAACAAAGTAAAGAACAACCATTATGCATCATCAATCTTTTCTGCTTAAGGTTGAGGCAAGATACTTTTCCATTGCATAGCAGAGTATGAAAACACTGAAGCAAATTTAAAATCCTAGTGCAAACTTCTATTAAATACTAAGCTGTGGACAATGTCAGCAGATGTCTCCACGCAAGTTCTGTCCTTGTAATGATAAATTATGCTGCTTGCAAAGATATTAAAGAAGATGACCAACTTTTTCTCTTGTTTTATCTTATTAGCTAACACTGTATAGTCTATACAGGCAGGGGGATCCTGAATCTACCATCCATCTGTGCTCAAAACAACCAAGTTCAAAACTGGATCCTTGTAACACGTGTTTCTACCAGCCCAACCGATATGCAAAATGCCTCTGTCACATAAAACACTGCATTCAAATGCGTTTCCCAACTCATAACCTACTGCACTCAACAACAAAGGAGCACTTACTGCCATTGTCGTCAGAATCCTCACTGCTGCTAGGAAGCCGACGACGTTTCATGATCTCCACGGGAAACAGCAGGCAGCCTGCAAAGCAATGAGACAGCACTTAACCCAAGATAATAATAACACACACTCATCAAGTTGTGTTTCTGGTGGCATTCGAGGATTTACAGCACACAAAGGAAAACAAACAACTTTAAACAGCATCTGAAATGCTAACAGTGAATATCTCAAGGATGCTTAATTAGGCAGTCAACATATGAGCAGGTGAACAAAAGTGGAGAATATCAATGACAACACCATCAACACTTTCACCCCAAAACAAAAGCCTGTTTTGTTCTGAGAGGTCCTAAAATGACTGAATACCTGCAGTCAAGGTGCTTAACTTCCACTGCCCATTCTGATGGTAGACTTGCAATACAATAACATCTTTACTGCCTATGTAAATATTTACTTTGGCTAATATGTTTTTGGAACCATTTTATTCCTGTTTCAAGTGCCAGATTTACAAAATCAAAGATTGAAGTAATCCACTTATATATATGAAAAAAACAAGCATCAGCAGTAGCAAGCCAAGTTTCCCCAAATGAACCAAACATGCTTCATCCGTGCCCTGGAAGGCACCACCCTCAAAGGTAAGGTTACTTCCTCCTGCAGGCACATTTCCTAACACAAATTGCTGTTCAGGAATCACATCAAACTGCCAGACTTCTGCCAAGACTGACTTCAAATCCACACGAATTGGTGATGTGAAGGCAAAAAGTTCTGTCTCTTTTTAACTGCTGTTCACAGAGCGTCGGTGTTTTCACATCCATTCTCTGTGGAATGAGACCCAGTTCAGAGAAATGAAGGGAGCTGTAAGTGGCGAGTCAGTGTTTACATGTAACAAGCTATTAAAAAGTGCAAGTTGAAGAGCAGAGAAAACCATGACAAGTGCAGAAAGGCATATCCACTCTAAGTTGAGCTGACAAGGACTCTACACGTATATCAAATCCCCCGAGTCTTGGCTCACCACCTATCAAACGTGGTATCAACAAGGTCTGGGTGTGTCGCTAACAGCAAAGCCCTCATACACACCTCTGGGGCACAGATTTGGATATCAGGGGCCAAAATAACATTTTTACTTCTAGGTAGGTGCAAAAAATCTAACTTACTCATTTTTATATGAGTTAGGATTTCCTAGGAACCTTTCAATAAAATTCTTTTCATTGACCCTTCAGCATATAGTTAATTACTTCAACTTTGTTCAGGGAGAACACATCTCATTGTAGTAAACTCAGTAATGCTTTCAACTTTCATAAGACTAATTCCCAAAATAAGGAAACACAAAGAGCCCAACCAAGGCTTTTGGCTGGTTAGTAGGCTGACACTATTTCCAAGAAAACAAAAAAATACCTTCCCTCCCACAAGTGATCCATATAAGAAGAAATAAGCATTTTTTGAGGGAATCAATTTTATCATCACTAGCAAATCACAAGCAACAGAACCTGACACTCCATTTGACACTTCCAGTGAACTAAATACAATTGTAAATGCCCCAGCATTGCAAGTTTGCTCCTTTTTCATATTACACATGCCAACAGAGGTGAGGGGAAGCCTCCCTCCCGCAGAGTGATTTTCCAGAGTGAGATTTAATCTGTCTTTGAAACATGTAACAAGTTTGAGCTGCAAGCTTCCCTCACTAAAGGTAACAGGAAACTCAATGGTTCTCTTCAACAAGACTTTTTGTCACTAGTTGAAGTTCACATGCCAGAGAATAAAGAATCAAAAATTACAACCTCTTAAGCACTGGAAGAATTCACTCCAGAATTGCTTTGACGCAGACCAAAACTCTGTGTGCATGGCAGACAGAAATGCTGCCAATGAATAAATACCCTGACCAGCCTGCACCATCAAAACCATCTGAATACGGATCTGCTATAAATGTAGTAGTAGATCCAGAGCCAAGTTCAGATATGGTCATTTATAAAGACAGAAAGCCAATATTCAGATCCAAAACAGGCTAAGAAATGAAAAATTAATTAGCTGCTACAAGGCCAAAGCCAAAGGGATAAATACTTATTCTGCAAGGCCCTTTCTGTAGTAGTTCACATACTTTCCCGTAACTGAAAGAAGTCCTAACAGCACCACCAAAGAACATACTCACTTAGAATGGAAATATCTCCCATAAACAAAGTAAAGAGGATATGGATGAAAATAAAGAAAAATGAAGTTATCTCAGAAATGTAACTTGTATATTAATGGTCCAGATTCTAACTTCTTGGTTCATTCCCACATAATCTGAAAAATACTGTGCACCATAAAACAAAATAACAGCACATATGCACTGAGACACATTCATGAGCTTGGAATGAACACTAATATTCTAAATTCTGCTCCTCCACATCTTTTTGAGTTCATCTTTTCCCAGCCACACTTACTGCAAATTCACTAACTAAAGACTAGAAAGCTTCTCCTTCCTACCGCGTGCCTTTAAAAAACAAACTAAACCATCTTTTGTGTTTTTGTTTAAAGGAGAGAGTGGTATTCACACCTCTCAGTTCAAGCACTCTACACAGTTCTTCAGGAAGTAGAGGAGCCAGAACAGAAGCCACTTTCCTGGAGAACAGAGCACTAGATAAGGCAGCAGATTTCCTCGTCCCCTCTAGTGAGGTTTCTAAAGTTGGCCATACTGAAAAGCCTGTGTTCACAAAAGTAACATTAAGGGAAACACCTCATTTGATGAAGCTTCTGTGAGATTCCTTTACAGATGCAAATGAAATAAAAATCCAGAAATCTCATTTTCCCATCTTTGAACCTAACATGAGCTTACAGGGAGCTAAATCACAGTTGGAAAAGCAGTGCCTGGCTTCTCAGAGCAAGTCTCAAGCCTCATAAGGCTAATCTCCTAGAATTTTGTCATTAGAAGTAATAAAGCAGCTTTTTTTCAACTTCTAAAATAATTTTAAGCTGTTCCCACCAGATGTGCATATCCACACTTCAGAACACATGTTCTAGAGACAACACTAGAACAGCTAATAAGAATCACAACCACAGAGGCTGAAATGCTGCTGCTCTCAAGGTTACCCCAGTGCCTCTGCCCCGAAGACTATCAGTTTCTGCCAGGTGATGGTGACCTCAAAGTCACACAAGAACCGCATTAAAAATAAACACGGGCTATGGGTAGTGATGGTGAGGTGCAGGCTCTCCCTGTTTGACCACACAGACATTTTCCCAGAGTGTTTACAGAATACTGTGAATTCACGTAACACTTTTTTAATCATCAAGAAAACAAACAAACCAACCAATCAACCCCAAACTATAATAACTCATTCTTCATGGAACATCTTTTAACAAAAATAAGGAGGCATTTTTATACTGAAAAAGGCAGAATGGAAGAACTAACAAACTTTTCAGTAAAATCACTTATCTGATTCTCTTTCCTCATCTGAGATTTGAGTGCCAACAATATTACTTTCTTTGTAAAGTCTCACTCTTCAGAGTTACAAAAATGTTAGCATTTTTCAGCCGACTTTGACATACACTTTTTCTACTCAGATGCACATAGAATGCATCTGACCCAATTCTTACCTCATTAAAACACATCCTGAAACTGAAGTAGGTCTGTCAGTTGCAACAGGTCAGAAGTAAGGTCAAGTTCATCAAGACTGACTGTACCACACTTAGTTTAGAGGTACAAATGAGCTATGAACACTATGTCTATAAGCAAAGAGAATTCAAATGTAAGCATAAAAAGGGTGAAACACTTAAGCCGAGCTCTAAGAATCAACGCAGTTAAGTAAAAACCTTGCATTCAAGCTTCCAACATTTCCAGGACAGTAAGAGACCACCCAGGTTACTGAGCTCAATCCCCAACAACCACATGCAACCACATAACAGCCGTTTAGTCCAGAAGTTCCCACAAAACATTCACTGCACCCACACGTACCACAGAACAACTTCCCAGCCCTCTCTGCAAAATGAATGCTTCTCTGAAGCAAGGAAGCAGCCAGCCAAGCAGTGCCCTCAAACCATCTATCTTCTATCACATTTTTACCAAATTCTAGTTCCAAAAGGACACACCCATACACTGTTTACCTGAAGGATAAACCCAGCCCTTGAAAACCTCCAACAAGTCCTGCAGCTCTAACGTAGCACAGGCTGCTACGACACCAAGCCAAACACTCCTCGTTCTCAGTGACGTGTAAATTCCAAGTAACCCGGCAACTTCTGTATGTCATTCCAGTTCCATTTCCTTCAAAGACGGTTGCTTCTTCATGTTATAACCATCCTTTCAGGACTTGGACAGACCAACACACAGTATGCTGATAGCTGTTTTTCCTAATGACCATTACAACGGGGAGGGGTGGAATTATACTCAGGCTAGTGCCAACCTTCAACCAAACACAGCCTAAGACAACCAGCCGTGACTGCTAACAAGGTTACCCCACTTCTAGGGGTGGGCAAAGCATCCAAGAGTGCTTTGTGCAATCACACCACCACCATAAACGGCACAGATGGGGCCGAGGCCATGACTTTTTAGCTGCCAAGCACCCCCGGGTGAGCTAGCCATACCAGTAAGGCTGGACTGGTGAGACTGGCACAGCCAGCAGTGTGCGCTGCTGCACTGCTCCAGAGGCTAAACAGAGACATGAGCTTTACAGAGATCTACAACACCAGTTGCTTTTCCATCTTTTTTCCATCATGCTCGCTCTGAAAGCCAAGCTCTGGGTTTTACTCATTGATTAGGTACAATCTACAGAGGTACAAACATAACTGAGGAGTTAACATGGTACAATCGGATCGGTTTTAAAGGCATGATTACAACGCCTGAAACATTTCTTCTACTTGTAAAACTCTATGCAAACAAAATGACTAGATGATAATCCACTATAACAACATCAAGCCACGAAATAACATTTGGATTTATGTATCCTTGTGGAGTTGAGCAACAAACATCTACCTCTACATGAGTAAGCAGACAGCAGGTAGGAATACAGACATCTCTGCCTGCTCCCAAGTACCTGCTGGCCAACGCAGTGCAGTGGGTTAGAATCAGCAGCTTGACACAGGACAGCAGTCACTGGTTACAGCAGTATGCATCA